ATGCTATGTTGTGCACTAGACCAAATCTTAGCTATGTTGTTGATTTGATTAGTCGATATCAAAGTAATCAAAGTATATCTCATTGGTTAGCTGTGAAACGTGTACTTAGATACATACAAGGCACATTAGATTTTTTTTTTAACATATTAAGCTAATGATATATATGTTAATGGTTATTGTGATACTGATTTTGTTGGTGATATTGATGATAAAAAATCCACCACGGTTTATATATTTATTTTTAGTGGTGGTGCTATTTCATGTTTTAATAAAAAATAAGGTTGCATATCTAAAAGTACTATAGAAACTGAATATGTTGCTTGTAGTATGACCGTCTCCAAGGCCGTATGGTTAAAATGGTTTCTAATTGATTTAAAGCTTGCCTGTATAGATAATATGTCTATTCATATTTTTCGTGATAATGAGGTTGGGATAAAAACCATTAAAAATGGGAAAATCAGGCCCAAAGGTAAGCACCTTGAATTACAATAACACTATATAAGTGATATAATGAAACAAGAACATGTTACTATTGATTATCTTTGTACAAAAGATATGGTTGCAGACTCATTGACAAAACCTATTGAAATCGAAAAATTTAAACGACATGTCGTTGCTATGGATTTAAGTTATGAATGAATATCTCAGGCTTGTAACCAAGTGGGAGATGTTGGAATATGTGGCTAAAATTTTTCGATATTAATTAAGCCACGTTTAGTGGTCAAATCCGGAATATATAAAATCCCAATCCGTTGGTTAAATATTACATTATTTGTGACATATATCATGGATACATTTTTTGTCAAATTATTATATATTAAATATTATTTTATAATGATGCATGCATAGATATATATTACATTGATATAATTGAATGTTTGAGTTAGATCTTTTCTATTCAGTATGAGTGACTTAGCTAGAGGGACTCATCAAGTAGTGAAAAACTAGTCAATTCTACTTGGAGTATAATTAGCATTCTTTGACGGCAAAGGGTTGAGGAAATATTGGTAGAGTTGAGAAAAATTTGGGGGAGTTGAAGATATTATGTTGAGTGGTAACGGCTAGTTGAATAGTTAGCTGATATATTCTTTCCTATAAATAAGTTTCTCTGCATACAGAAAAAACACACCTGAAAACACCCAATGTGAGAGAAAACCATTGAGGAAAATCTCAACTCTACTGCTTGAGAATTTTAAATCTCAAAGGCTAGCTTTCAATTCATCAAATTTATTAAATTCTATTCTGAAAACTCCTACATCTCTCAATAAAATTGATTGGTAAAAAAGGTCAAGAGAGTTTATCCATATTCTCTGTGTCGGTGGATTTATGTGAAGTGTTTGGTGCTAAATGTATTGTTATAATATATTAATAGAATATGGTATATATCTAACAATTGAACATATGATACTTAGACATACATATCAATTGGCCACACATATCGACCTAATTTTATTTTAATTTTTATTTTTTAAAATTCTTAAAATTAAATATTAAAGTTACATTATAAGATATTTAGATTCAAACTATTTTTTAATTTTTACGATAATCATATTTTCGATATAACGCTTATATTTTATTTTTAGTATTTTTAATGTATTGGATGGTATTTTTTAGACATATGATATATGGATTTGGTTGTTTATATATTCTATAAATTTTTACGATTTTTGTTAAATTTTTTGGGACTTCTATCTATCATTTTGCGCATATCTGCCAATACCGATCTGCAATGCCACGACCGAGATATCTTATTGTGCCCTCCAATTTGATGATCAATACCACGACCTTAAACCATATCTTAGACGGACTATGTGATAAGAAAGAGGCACTATATGCCTCAACATGAACACCTGAGTGAGCAAATGTGAAAGAACCAGTGGCAGTGATGACTTACTACAACTGAGTGGGGACTAACTACAATTGAGTCATGAGATGCTGAGTGGTCAGAGGGACTCAACTTCCTTCTTTGAAGGAAAAACAGAAAAGCCACGGGACCTGGTCACTCCTCTAGTGTGACCTTTTTGCCTTGAGTAGATTGACAATGTACTTTCCAACAACTCTCTTTAGTGTGTCTTGGCTGCTACAATTGTTACACCCAAAATTGATAAATAGACGTGATCTAACTAATAACCTTTAAAATCATGAGCATAACTAAAAATACCATTAAATAAATCTAACAAAAAAATTCACATCATATAGCTAAAAATCCTCACAACAATACGCAATCATTAAGGGTTTACATTCAAAAACTTCTTTAAACAAAACAATGATCTCCAAACTAACTTCATAATCATTATTCATGGAAATATTCTATCATTAAACAAAACAAGATAAAACTAAATAAGAAAGTCTTCAAGCCTTCACATCTAGATTGACAATTTCATTTGTCTCATAAACCCAATCAGCATTCTCACCTAGATTCGTATCCACCTCAACACCATTATATGAAAAATGTTAAGGAAGGGACTAGGCCAATAGAGAAATTTTCTCAAACCTTGAATAAAACAAGTAGGTCTTAGTTTAACAAAATAACATATATAACTTTTGAAGTAAAAAAATGTGACATTATAACAATTTCAAGTTTGCGATACATAAACATGTAAATTCATAACAGAGTAGAACTATTCTGAAAACAACAGTTTATAACAAAAATATCTCAGTTGATTAGCAAGAATTCACACACCGAATATATCTAGTCCACCCCACCATAAACACAAACCATCCAATCAATCTCCGCAAAGCCACAACGTTTTAATAATTGCATTTACTGACATATCTGTATTTATCAAAATCTTCTTAGGAGTAATATACTAACCCTCAGCCTCGAACCAACCTGAACGAATAGTGCGAATCCTTGGACCCTCACAAAGAACCAAACAACTTCCTACAAGTGATAGGGAACCTTTAAACCTCTTGAGGTAAGAAATTCATCTAAACACTCTAAGATATAAATTTAAGTGCAATTCAAGCTCCTCAAACCCACCCATGCAAGAGATGTAATTCATGTTTTTCAATAAAATCTACATGTACCACGCACAATAATTCCACAATTCTTAAAACAGAGTAAACGTCACTAAAATATGCATGAGATCACAAAGAAAACATCATCAATTCGACATTATTCAAGATCTAGGGCTTTACAAACCAAAACATACAATTGGATGTAATTCAAGAGTTCTTCAACACAACGAATCATGCTTTTGAAATAAATCTAAAATAGTTGTAGATCTATAATAAATATACAGATTTGAGTCAAAAATTACATAAATAGTCTATGCTTTTTAGGGTTGAAACGCATGTAATGAACCATTCTTGATCTCCTACAAAATAAAATACCTAAAACACCAAAATTATCATCTTAAATAGCTATACAAGTCAAACGTCTATCCCAAAGTTTCTTGACCTTCTAGATTCATTGACCTAAAAATTTTAAAAAATTACCTAGTTACCCTTTTTAAGCTTAAACACCTCTGAAACTAAAATTTGACATGAATGTCAATACGCCCGAAACTCAAACTTCACGGCTATTATTTCAACAACGATTAAAAATTCTATCATCATTACAATTATTTTAGAAGCACTCTTAAGATCAGTTTATCCGTATTCAAAGTTTATATGGGGTCTTACAACAATAATCGTGGATAAACTTATCTCCGTCATCTGAAATAGCAAACTACCACATATTGTATTTCTTTCGATATCTTCAAGAATGCAAAACCATTATTGATATTAGGTTGCATGGAATGGAAAAGCCAAGACATAACAATTATGCATCCCATTAAGCATATAGCAAACCTGTTCTTTTTGGTTTATCAAGAGTGCCATTAAGGTAGCCCATCTTCCCTTTGCTCTTAATAAACAATAATGTGGAATGAGACCAGATGAAATAAATTATGCCATCAAGCATACCCATTGTAATTTGTAGCTTAGGGTTTTCATTTGGGTATTGAACTAACCCAATACTATTAACTGAGCTTCCAGGCATTGTCGCAACTGGTTCGAAACAACAAATGGACTCCAATACCCTGAAAAGCACCAATAGAGATCAAACCCATGCCGAACAGAATAAAACCGAACAAAACAATGTCAATAGTATCTATCAAATGCCAAAAAAACAAAGTCAAAAAGCGAATTGGATTATCATGGACTGGTACTATTGATCACCTAGAGGGAAAAAATCTTTGCAATCTGCATTTGAATGTCCATGGGCAGTACAAAACAAACTCGCTCAAGCCTAGTCGCACCTCTTAGGTGGGTTTGGAAGCAGCCAAATCTTGAAAAATTATCTAAAACTTCCTATCAAAAAATCCAAGACTTTTTTTGGGAAATTCAAAAAATATAAAACCCAGTCAAATAATATCAAAAGGTGAAAAATACCTGGAAGAGCTCCCATGATGATCCAAACCAAATCCAGGTTTTTCTTCCTCCGGGTGATGAAGTCATAATGTCGTTATCATGTGAAGGATGACATCAGCACCATGCAGGATCATCTTTCTCTATCTGTCTAATGTGTGATTTTGATAAATTGGTTTTGCCCGAAGCATCGGACAAATGATCACCCATGACTTCTGTGTACCGCAAAGGCTTTTGGTGGTCTTATTAGCGCATTCCACGGTAGGGTCTTTGACTGGGTTGCAGTCATAACAAAGGTAACCGTAGTAAGGGTCATACCAAGTTTAAATAGCAAATATGTGTAGAATGAAAAGAAAACGTAAAAAGAGGAGAGAAGGATTCTGAATAAAGGAGTAGGTCAAGTTTCTCATCCGTACAGTCCTCTCAATTTGTATTATTAGGTCTATTTGAAAATTACAAGTACGCCCATCATTAAAATTCTCCATATATTCTAACGCTTTTTCCCCAGGGAAACCATTCTCTCATAAGAGCACACAAACATTGAGCCCTCAAACCATTTCTCTACACCCCCCCTTTCCTTACAAAAAAAGTTTGACAGAAAGATGCAGTGATTATCAAATGCTGTGGTTGTTGGTGTGCTTAGCTTTATGCTTACTAAGAAGGTTGGAAACAAATCTACCTGAATTTGTAGAATAAATTTCATTGACATGTGAATGGATATCCTTTCTAGTGTTTATCATGGATGGTGGAATCATTTACACTGTAAATATACCATGAAGATGATGAAAAGGAGCAACTAGAGAGATATGTTTATATATTCTAGTTTCAATTGTATGAATTCTAAATTCGATGCTGTGAAATGGCAATTTTTAAGAACATAAAATCTGTCAAAAAAACTAGTTCCAAAGAATAAGAACTTGTCTCCAATGACTTGATTACCTGAAGTGTATGGTTGATCGTACATATAACTGTGGATCTACCCACTCTTCATTGGTGGTTATAGCTGGTTGGATGAGTGATTGTGTTTTTTGCAACATTACTTAATGGATCCAGTTTGTCAATATTTCTTTGCTTGGTAGAATGGCGTGATCGTATCTGGAACCAACTCAGAAAGGATTAATTAAGTTGGAAGGATACTTACATTTCCATGGATACTAGAATAAACTTCTTGTAAAGTCACTTAATGGATCCTGTTTGTCGATATTCCATTGCTTGTTAGAATGGCATGATTCTAATTCTAATGTGCTTTCTTGATGTCAGGTTCTGGCTTTATTCCCATCTTCACAAGGTTTGGAGGTTACTTGGTCATCTGTTGTCAAAATCGGGCAATCTTTATATCGTGAGGGACCTGGTAAAGATCCATTTAGACCTGACCAGAAGACACCTGTGAAGAATTTCTTCCTTGCTGGCTCATATACAAAACAGGTGATGCCATCTTTTATGCACTATTATGATTGTAATGCTTGATTACATGTGCTGCAAGATTCCAATAAGAAAAAACAATGAAGGAATGGCAAACTATTGGTAATGTAATTATGGTGCAATAATATGAAGTATATTTCGTGATAGAGTCATCAATCATATTTATACCTGTGTTTGAGATACAGTGCATATGGGAAAAAATACATTTATCAGGCAAACAAGAGCACTTACGGTGGATCGTGGGTTGGCAAGTAACACAACCATTTTTTTTGTGAAGCTTCCTCACATTTTCATAAAAAGTGGTCAAGAGATATCTTTTAGAAAATCTCTCTGGATCATTTGAAACTTCATCACTCCTTAAAATATCTGCAAAAAAGGATGATAGTTGCAGGTTTTTTTCACAAAGTAAATTCCTAAGATGTTGTGATGCTTTGCTTTGTGCAGGATTATATAGACAGCATGGAAGGGGCAACTTTGTCAGGCAGGCAAGCTTCGGCATTTATATGTGATGCTGGGGAAGAGTTGGTGGCGTTACGAAAGGAGCTTGCAGCTAGTGAATGCAAAGAACTAAAGGAAGCTTCTTACAACGCTGACAAGTTGAGTCTAGTCTGATGCAAAGCATTTCCCATCGAGTGCTATCCAAGCTGCCTCAGAATGGTGAGTTTGAAGGTTGCTGTGACAGTACCATGTATGTTCTTTGTGTATGTAATTGAATCGAAATTGAATTCTTATGTAAAATATTAGCTGCAGTTATATCATCCGAGCAATGTCTAAAACCACTGGTCTTTATGTTAATGATCATTTTAATCAATTCATATCTGGAAATTCTTAGCAGAATATTATACCATTCTGTTTGGCATGCAGGTCACATTTTATCTAGGAAAATCATTGCTAAAAGCTGGTAAAACATTGTGTATTGGAACAATGAATTTTAGGAGAAAAAGTAATGTTGAAAAATTTATGATGGGCTTCAACTTTGAGAGCTAATTTTATCCATTAGCTATGACATGATCTTTCGTCCTGTCACTAATTTAATATTAGATAGAATTCTTTGTTTTTTTTAATCACAATATTAGATAGAATTCTAAATTACTCAACTTTAGCCATTTGTAAAGTACTTCCTCTTAATCTGGTTTTGAGTGTCACAGTTACAGGTGGTTAAGAACTCATATGCCATCTTAAGGAGAAGATGAATTAGGGGTTCAAGCTGCTAAACAAGCCAGTTTTGGCCTGTATAGTATAGAATGTTGAGTTCTACCTTGAAGTCATTTCACTCCTCGACACTTTTATTTAATTTCGATCAAAAGTAGATTATCTACTCAGAATTCAAGTGGGACCGCTATTTATAAGTGAGTCCCCTCACTCTTACATGGTCAATAATTTATCATCAAGTGAAAATGTAATAGGAAGAATCTAGATCCATGAGAGATACATCCAACTTAAGAAGGTCGGGCTGGTGCCGAAGTTGTGCAATATTTACAGGATTATAAGCTTTAAATAGATACATTTTGAAGCAGAAATCATTCAACCACCTTTAACTGTTCATAGCCAATTCTAACCGTTATTGGCTTTTTAAACAGTAATCTTAACATCAGTCACTTGACCATATAGGAGACCTCTAACAATTTCCATTGCAAGTAAATTATCCATCCAACGGGCACGAACAAATACCCAGCTTGATTGAAACAAAAACCACATTATATTGTATATCAATTCCCATCGAAGATTAGTAGCAATAGCACAGCAATAAATATATGCTTATTATGGTAATTAAAATTTGGTTATTATTGTTGCTTGTGGTGTGCCAAAATTTTAAAATTACTTATTAAAATTTTTGATTTGAACCATGTAAAGTATAACAAAACAGTTACAGTAAACAGTTACACAGAAACGAAAGAGTTACAACAATGTAACGAAATAGTAACAACAAACAGATATACGTAACTGTTTGTTTAAACAATAAAAATACTAACCCGATTGTAGAATAAGAACTGTTATTGAACTTTAGATAGATTAAGGCTAGTGTTTGACACTATGTCCTTAAGACAGATTTCACTCCCACACATGGTGCTTATAGAAATCGAGCGTCTGCCTCCTAGGATACAATGATATCTCACAAACAGAAGTAGCACTCCAATCTGCTCGTCCAGCGAACCAAAATCGTGTTGTGTACTCTTTAATTGCACTGCCTTAATGTTGAAAATGATATGTTCTAATGTCTGCCTAATGGTTGAAAATGGACTGATGAATTGAATTAATTGTTAAATGCATGCATGAACTGGGTATTTATAAATACCTTGGTGACTTTCCGAACAGTCACCAAACTAAAAGACACAACCCAGAATAACAAGACATAACAGCTAGTAGATACTTTGGGTAACTGTTCACCATGAACAATCACAATTTAATTCGGTTTGGAGGCAACAAACCCGACCCAATGCGATCCAACGGGTATCGAAATTAAATTTCAGGTTAAGAAATTCTCGTACAATTTATTAAAAATGATAGGGCTTGGTCTAAACCACACTCACACCCGTACCAGAGCCCGGCCCAGCCGGGTCATGGCGAGACGGGCGGGCGGCGTTCGTGTGTGGTTGAACCAAAGGCATGTAGGTGCTCACTCCGCTCATAAAACTGTGGTACCCCTTGGGGCCCAATCCCATAGAGCAAACTTGACCTATATATGCTCATGTTGAATTTCTTCCTCAACCAATGTGAGATTGGTGTCACATCCTACATTACACTTCCTTTATTTTTACATTTCAAGAGCGTCACTTTGAAGCCTATTTTCTCATTCATTTCTTACTCAATTTGAGCAAGTGAATATATTACATTATTCTCCTCACATAATAGAATATAAACCCATAAAATTTTATTTCAAAATAACAATCGGGTCCCACTTTAATTTAGATTCAAAGTCGACCAAAAACTCAGTTTTTACACTTAAAAACTGTTTTGGTCAAACAATCCCCCACATGAATGAAAAGTTGGCTGTTAGTATACAAATAATAATGCTGACACACTATAGAGAGTACATATTTGGAAAGATCGTGCATCGAGATAGGTAGTTTTTGGCCTTGAACCTTCCCTAGTGAAAGTCCATCGAACTTACCGGCTAAATAGTGAACGTGATGTCTTGAACTATTCAACTGTTTGATAAATCAGATCGAATAGACTTCACATAGTCTCTTTCCTAACACAATTGGTTCTCATGATTGTATTCATTTTGGCCCTGAACAACTCCTGATTTTCATGAGTGTTTTAGAGAATTCAGCCTTTACAAATTCTCATAGAAGCGGCCCCTTCACACCCATATAGGTGACTCCTATTAGGAATATCCTGCAATATCCCACTTGGATTTACCAAGGTATAAAAGTTATTCAAAGCATAGTTTACCCTAATAAACTTTGTAGGCAATACTAGTTTACCATAGGAATAGGTAGGAGAGATTATCTCTTTAGAGCTTCTTTTGAATCACGCATAATTCGGTTGTCCCTTTGAACCTAGATCTTGGGATTTCCAGTCAACTAGGTTGGGTTGTCATTAAGGTGACTCTTGTGTCATAGGATTTAATCTCATTCCCCTCGATGTGTAATTTACTTGCTCTCTCATCAAACCTTTTGTAAGCGGATCCGCTAGATTATCCTTTGATTTTATATAATCAATAGAAATAATCCCATTTGAAAGCAATTGTCTAACGGTATTATGTTTACGATGTATATGTTTAAACTTACCATTATACATGTCACTCTGTGCCCTACCAATTGCAGATTAGCTATCGCAATGTATACATATTCCTGGCACAGGTTTAGGCCATATTGGAATATCTTCTAAAAATTGACGAAGCCACTCAGCTTCCTCTCCTGTTTTATCTAAAGCAATAAATTCAGATTCCATTGTGGATCTGACAATACACGTTTGCTTAGAGGATTTCCAAGATACAGCTGCACCACCAAGTGTAAAAACATAACCACTTGTAGATTTTGTATCCTTCATATCAGATATCCAGTTTGCATCACTATACCCTTCAAGTACAGCTGGATATCTTGTATAGTGCAATCCAAACTTCAGGGTATATCTTAAGTATCTAAAAACGCTGATAATTGCCTTCCAATAGTCTACTCCTGAATTACTTGTATATCTACTCAATTTACTAACTAAGTATGCTATATCTGGTCTAGTGCAGTTCATAACATACATTAGACTTCCAATAATACAAGAGTATTCTAATTGTGATATGCTTTGACCAATATTTTTAGACAAATGAAGATTTATATCAACTAGTATTCTAGCAATGCTGCTTTCATCTTTGTCGAATTTCTCAATTATTTTCTCAATATAATGTGATTAAGATAATATAAGTCTACCAGATGTTCTAGAAATTTTAATTCCTGATATAACATCTGCAACACCCAAATCCTTCAGGTCAAACTTACTAAACAACATTTTCTTGGTAGCTGTAATAATATTATTATTATTACTTAAAATAAACATATCATCCACATATAGGCAAACAATGACATATCCATTATTTGTGTCTTTAACATAGACACATTTATCACATTAATTAATTGTAAAACCATTTGACATCATTACTTTGTCAAATTTCTCATGTCATTGTTTTGGTACTTGCTTTAAACCATAAAGTGATTTAACAAGTCTACACATTTTCTTCTCTTGTCCCGGAGAAACAAATCCTTCGGGTTGGTCCATATAAATTTTATCATTTAAGTCAACATTTAAGAAAGCTGTTTTCACATCCATTTGGTGTATCTCAAGATTATGTAATGTTGCAATAGCTATGAGCATACGAATAGATGTTATTCTCGTAACGGGAGAATATGTATCAAAGTAATCAAGACATTCATTTTGTTTGTAACCTTTAGCTATAAGTCTAGCCTTGTACTTGTCAATTGATCCATCACTTTTCATTTTCCTCTTGAAAATCCATTTACACCCAATGGTTTACTCCATGGTGGAAGATCTACCAACTCCCAGGTGTGATTTTGCATGATGGATTCAATTTCATTGTTTACAGTTTCTTTTCACATAGGTGCGTTAGGAGTGGACATCACTTCATTAAAGCTTTGAGGCTCATTTTCTAACAAATATGTTAGAAAATCTGGACCATAGGACTTGGAAGTCCTTGCCCTCTTATTGCGTCTAAGTGCCTCTTCACTTTCTTCATTTATAGACTCATTGTCTATATTACTAGTCGCAGTATTATGAGCTCTTTTAAGAGAACTCTCATCACATGTATTTTTACTAGGAAAGACATTTTCAAAAAATGATGCATTTCTTGACTCAATGATTGTATTGACATATATATCAGGAATATCAGATTTATGCACGAGAAAACGATATGCACTGCTATTTATTGCATAACCAATAAATATACATTCAATAGTCTTAGGTCCTATTTTAATCTTTTTGGGAATAGGAATCATCACTTTAGCCAAACACCCCCACACTTTTAAATATTTGTATGAAGGACTCATTCCTTTCCATAATTTATAAGGGGTTTTGTCTAACTTCTTGTGGGGTAGTATATTTATAATATAATTTGCTGAAAGCAAAACTTCCCCCCATAAGTTCTGAGGTAATCCCGAACT